AAAATGCTCTCAGCTTGAAATATGCTACGTAGCCAATATGGTAATTTCTCAGCTACGTTGTAGCACGGCACCTATTAACAATCCCCTGACCAAAATTTATAGACTGGGATGCTTTATGATGTTAAAGACAATGTACTTGGCAAGAGTGTAATCAGATGCAGGGCTAAAGAAGTCAACATTTGGACAGACAGAACATAGAACAGTACAGCACAGTACAGGCCCTTCGGCCCACGCTGTTGTGGCAACCTATTATCCTACTAAGATCAAACTGCCCTGCATACCCTACATTTTACTATCATCCATGTGCCTATCCAAGAGTCACTTAAATGTCCCTAATGTATCTGACTCCACTACCACCGCTGGCAGTGCATTCCATTCACCTACCACTCTGTGTAAAGATGGTAAAACATTTGGCCAAAGCAATAGCTTTAAGCAGAATCTTAAAGTTGGAGATTGGGAAAGGGAATTCCAGAGCCTGGGGCATCGTTATCTGAAGGTGAGATGCCAGTAGTGTAGTAAATGTTGTGGGCAATGCACAAGAAGGCAGATTTGAAGCAATGCAGAGATCGTGAAGGGTTGTAGGATTGCAGGAAGTAACAGAGATGCAAAGGAAGCAAGACCATGGAGGTACTTGAAAATGAAGCTGAGAATTTTAAAATTGAAGTATCAATGAACCAAGAGGCACCATCAGTCAGGTGTCATAAAGGTAATGAGTAGTCAATGAAGAAAACTTACCTTTATCCCATGGAAGTCTGAAATAATGCAGATATTGGGATCTGAAAAGTTCAAACACATTATCTTTGGACTATGTTAATAAGAAAACTACGTTATCCTATTTTTAATACACAAAATTAATATTTCAATGAAGATTTACTTTCTTAGGAGCCATGAGACTGCGCTATAAGTCCATTCATGGTACATTGAACCATATTATAGCAATCTATATCCCTCTAAATATGGACTTTTTGGAGCAACAATGAAAGACTATATAATTTTCCTCCTGATAGCGGACAAGAGCATTCCTCTCAGTACTTCAGTTCATTAAACTAACGTGGGAAGGGGGTGGGAACCAGAATACTAGGCCAGTAAGTGCAAGGACTGAGGACAAAAGTGTGACAGAGATATGCATATCACAGAGTAAGAGCAGGCATAGGAAAGTTGTGGGGCTCAGAGGGACTGGAGGTGCATTTACTTGAATGCAAGAAGTATAGCAGATGAACTAAGAGCATGGGTTACTGCTTGGAATTATGATGTCATTGCCATCACAGAGACATAGTTAAAGGAGGGATAGGACTGGCAGCTTAACATTCCTGGAGATCGTTGTTTTAGAAGGGACAGAAAGGAAAACAAAAGGGTTGGGGGAGTTGCATTGCTGCTTAGGGATCAGCTGTGTTGAGGGAGGACACATCAGAGAGATCTTGCATTGAGGCATTATGGGTGGAGCTCAGCAATAGGAAAGGTGAAATCACAATGTTGGGAGTTTTCTATAGACTTCCCAATAGCCCATGGGAGACAGTGGAGCAGGTATGTAGTCAGATAGTGGAAAAGTGTGAAAAGAGCAGGATAGTTGTGGTGGGTGACTTCAACTTTTCTCTCATTGACTGGGAGTCACGTAGAGCCAGGGTCTTGGATGGAGAGCAATTTGTTAGTTGTGTCCAGGAGGGCTTTTTGAGGCAGTATGTTGGCAATCCAACCAGAGAGGAGGCCATATTAGCCAGGATAGGTGATTGATGTTCGGTAGGAGAGCATTTCAGGCTTAGTGACCACAATTCAATCAGATTTCAAGTAGTTATGGAAAAGGACACGTGGCCCTCGGGTGAGGGTGCTTAATTGGGCAAGAGCCAATTATACCCAAATTAGACAGGAACTGGAGAATGACGATTGGAAGCAGTTATTTGAGGGCAAATCTACCTCTGGCATATGGGAGGCTTTTAAAGACCAATTGACTGAAGTGCGGGACATGCATGTTGCTGCAAAACTAAAGGATAGGAATGGCAGGATTCAGGAACCATGGATGGCAAGGGAAATTGTAAGGGTAGTCAAAAGAAAAAGGGGAGCATGTGACAAGTCTGGGCAGCTACAAACTGACGAAGCCCTGACGGAGTACAGAGAAATTTGGAAGGAACTTAAATGTGCAATTAGGAAGGCAAAAAGGGGCCATGAAATGTCTTTAGCAAACAGGGTCAAGGAGAATCCCAAGGGTTTTTATGCATATTTTAGGAGAAAGAGGGTAACAGGGGAAAGAGTACGCCCACTGATGGACGAAGGAGGGAAGTTGTACATTGAGCCACAGGAAGTGGGGGAGATCTTGAATGAGTACTTCGTATTGGTTTTCACCAAGGAGAAAGACATGACTAATATTGAGGTCAGGGATGAGTGTGTGAATACTCTAGAGAATGTCAACATAGTGAAAGAGGAAGTTTTGGGAATCCTAAATTGCATTAAGATATACAAGTCCCCAGTACCAGATGGGATCTACCCCAGGTTACTCAGAGGGGCAAGGGAGGAAATAGCTGGGGCATTGGCAGATGTCTTCACATCCTCGACCATGTGAAGTACCAGAGGACTGGAGATTAGTGAATGTTGTTCCCTTGTTTAAGAAAGGATGCAGGGATAATCCAGGAAACTGTAGGCCAGTGAACTTGATGTCTGTGATGGGAAAGCTCTTGGAGAAGATATTGAGGGACAAGGTATATGCTCATTTGGAGGAAAATGGACTAATTAGTGACAGGCAGCATGGTTTTGTCTGAGGAAGGTCATGTCTCACCAACCTGATGAAGTTTTCAAAGAAGTAACGAGGATAATTGATGAGGGAAGGGCTGTGGATGTAGTTTATATGGACTTTAGTAAGGCATTTGATTGGGTCCCACATGGCAGGTTGGTACAAAAACTAAAATTGCAAGGAATTCCGGTTGACCTGGCTAGATGGATAGAAAACCAGCTTGGTCATACAAGACGGAGGGTAGTGGTGGAAGGATGTTTTTCAGACTGGAGACCGGTAACTAGTGGTGTTCCACAGGGGTCAGTCTTAGGTCCTTTGTTCTTTGTAGTATATATAAATGATCTGGAAGAAAATATGGGTGGTCTGATAAGCAAGTTTGCTGATGAAACGAAGATTGGTGGAGTTGCTGATAGTGCCAACGATTGTGAAAGTATATAACAGGATATCGATAGATTGGCGACATGGGCACAGAAATGGCAGATAGAGTTTAATCCCGACAAATGCGAAGTGATACATTTTGGAGGAACAAAGTTAGGTGTGAATTATATTGTAAAATGGCAGAACCCTTAGGAACGTTAACATACAGACAGATCTGGGTGTGCAGGTCCACAGTTCGCTGAAAATGGCAACATAGGTGCCCAAGGTGATTAAGAAGGCATATGTCATGCTCACCTTCATCGCCTGGGGTGTGGCGTACAAGAGTTGGCAAAGCATGTTGCAGCTATATAAAACCCTTGTTAGGCTGCATTTGGAGTATTGTGTGCAGTTTTGATCACCACAGTACCAGAAGGATATGGAAGCTTTGGAGAGAGTACAGAGAAGGTTCACAGGATGTTGCCTGATTTTGAGGGCATTGGCTATGAGCAAGGGTTAAAAAGACTAGGATTATTTTCACTGGAAAGAGCGAGGAGACGGAGAGGAGAGGAGAGATGGCTGAGAGGAGACCTGATAGAGGTCTACAAAATTGAGAGGCATAGATAGCGTGGATGGTCAGAGGTTATTTCCCAAGGTTGAAGTTTCAATTGCAAGGGGGCACAGGTTCAACATCAGAGGGGGAAAGTTTAAGGGAAATGTGTGAGGGAAGTTTTTCACGCTGAGTGTGGTAGCAGCCTGGAATGCACCACCACAAGAGGTGGTGGAAGCGGGCAAATTGAAGACATTTAAGAGATACCTAGATGGGTACATGAATAGGGAGGGAGTAGAGGGATACCGATCAAAAAATGGCAGGTTTGTTTTTAGATTAATTAGGGCATGATGGTCGGTACAGGCTTGGAGGGCTGAAGGGCCGCAGGGCCTGTTCCTGTGCTGTACTTTTTCATTTATTCATTAGTCAGAAAGCTAGGATTGATGGTTATGTTATCGTACTGAACAGAAAGCTATTCAATACAGTACTGTTCAACTAAATAAGCACTTTACATGTGAACGCTGCAACATTTAAAATGAATAAAAGATTTGCTTGATGGTTTTAAATCAATAAAATCCAGAGTAGGTGAAATGATGATCCACATACTGAAAAAGGTAGGCAGGAATATACTATCAGTGTGAAATACTTCTCCATTTTTTTTTTTGTTTAGACTACACTATCTTTTGGGTACAATACAAACTTTAGGTTCACGTTAGACTACATTCTTGTCAGTTCTTCTTTTCTGACGTTCTGTGTTAGATTAGAGGAGGAGTTTGGCATTTTCTAGTATGGATTACACTGGGAGCTAAAAATTCAGTTCAGTTTGGGGATGCAGGTGGACAGCTGTAGTTTGTCCAGAGTTAGGTGGGGGAGGAATTGACCCAGAGTTAATCCAAACTGTGGAGTCCCACACTTATTTGCATGGTGTCCTTGCAGTAGGAGTAATCCAGAGAATCAAATTGCAGAATTTCCATAAACCTGTGGCAATGATTATTTTTTTCTCTTTTTCAGGAATGAGAGAGTGCATTAAAAACCACGTTCTTGACCCATTAGCCTTTCCATCTTCTCTACATTCAGTAGCAATACCAGTTTACAATTGACTATGCATCTCTAACTAAGCAGCTTTGTTTATTAGAGATAATTGCGTGCACAAGATATTAAGAAATTAGGATTTAATGAAAGAAGGGAATAGGGTGTGTGACTCAATTAACTACTCGGCATGTGGTTGCCAGCTTTTTTCCAGAATGTGTGTTCTGAATAGCTGGTATGGGCCACTGGTTCTGTGTTTTTGAAATAGATTACATAACGTGAAATGCACCCAATGCAATGGCTACAATTCTAATTTAAAAAACACCCACTCCTTTGTTCTTTCAGAGCTCCCTGAAGAAAAGAGGTAGCCGCGTTGCTGCTAAACCAGAAAAGAAGCCCATGCTGCAGGTACCAAACAGTTTTCATTCAGTGGTGGCAATATCACTGATTTGTTATAATTTACTTTAAATATAAGGCTTGCAGCTGTATAAATTCATTGCGAACATGTTTAAAAGGCCAAGTGATAGGATGTGGTTTCAGTTTCTTTTCGTTTTGTTTCTGGACATGTACAAGTTCATTGAAGGAGGAAGTAATTTTATCTGTTTTAAATTAAGATGGGAGTAAAACAGCAGAGAAAACTGCTCAAGCAAACACAATGTAATAGGAGTCTAGTTAGAAAGGCAATTTGAGACATTTTATTCAGTAACATGTTGATTTTTCGTGGAACTTAAAGTGTCATTGCCATGCTCTTAAAACCAGAGTTTTAAAGTAAAATGTGCAGACTTGATTTGATGTCATTTGTGTCCACATTTGGAAATGTTCTTATAAATGCCACAGTAAAGGTCTTTGCTAGTTTCACAACTGTTGCTACGGTTCAAAACATGCTGACAATCACTTGGACTGTTTCAAATGAGCTCTCCCCGGGCAAGCAAGCTGCTTGAGAAGATTTCTTTAAAAAAAACTGCAACCCTTTGACAACAGTCTATACCACAATCCTCTCCTTCAGTGACAGCATCGATAGCAATATGGCTTATCAGTCCATCCTGTAACAAAATGATGGTTGGTGTAGGAAGGTACAGAGAATGCCATAGTTAAAAACAAAAACATTATACTGCTAAGTTTAAGAGTTCATCTTTCACATTAGAATTACAGGTATTATTTGAGATGTTGGGCAATTGGGAACTCCCTGGCAAAGTTTGCAGCTTTCCCTGATAGATTTAACAGGTTAAAACAAGTCTATGATCCTTGGATTATAGCTTAGTGTTCCTTGCAAACATGCTTACACAATTTTTTTTTCTATCCTTTTTTTGAGAATACTGCAGCTCAGCTTTTGCACAATGCTCCTTCTGTGTTTCATTCATGAGGATAACACTCCCTCTGCTATATTCCTCCTTTTCCCAATTCTGTTCCTGCTAGATATCAGCTAATTGTTCAAAACCTGCCAGCTAAGTCGTCTTAGTATCAAGGGGATACTTACCCTCTGATTCATACCCTCCGCCATGCTAATTGATTAGAAAATACTTGCTCGCACCTAATGTCAGTAGCAGGAAACTACAAAACCAAGGTGTCTTTCATATTGTAACATTGCTCAACGTAGCATGATAGTGCTGTCATTTGCCATTTAGCTTGACTTGCAATTTAAATAGTAGTGAGTCAAGGTAATCTAAACGAGTTTGCCTTGCAAATGTTAACATATTGCCGATAATTCTCCTTGATTAAATGTAGGAGGATAGCGCTGATCTGAAATGCCAGCTCCATTTTGCCAAAGAAGAAGCTGCTGTGATGTGCAAAAAGCTGACCAAGTTAGTAAAAGAGAATGAAAACATGCGAGAGGAACTGGTGAAATACAGCTCTCTTTACGGTGATTTGGACAATGCGGTGTCTGTTGGTGACATCGGAGAATCTCCTCATGTTAGAGAAGCTGAGCTAAAATTGCATCTAAAGCTGGTTGAGGAAGAAGCCAACATTTTGAGCAGGAGAACAGTTGAGCTGGAGGTTGAAAACCGTGGACTGAAAGCCGAAATGGATGACTTAAAAGGTCACAGTGAGAAAGACTCCTCGAACCAGGATATCAGACTGGGAATTACCAGCACGAGCTACGGTGAGTTCGGGGAGAATGTTGGGGAGCTCAGGCGTCATCTTCAGTTTGTGGAAGAGGAGGCAGAGCTTCTGAGGCGATCCTTAATTGAGATGGAGGACCAAAATAAGCATCTCATGAATGAACTGAATAGGTACAAATCTGAATCCAATCAGGAGTCATCATGGTCAGACAGTTGTCCCTCGTTAACCGAACCTTCCCAGGAAGAGCTAATGACAGCAAGACTCCAAATCAATGACCTCAATGGGAAAGTCAAGAAGCTGGAATATGAGAATCGTGTGCTTGTTTCGAACCTTCAGCGTTATGACTTGGCATCCTACCACTGTCAGAAATGTTCCCGAGAGCTTGATGCTGACTTTAGTGACTCTGCAGAGATCTCCTCATCCCAGCCGAGGAGAGAAGTCCCAGTTGGAGGAGAGAATGATTCAAGGGAAACCCAAGAGAGAACCTCTGGCAGTGGGAGCAGCAGGATTGCTGATCATGATGATGTCACTGCAAAGTTGTTGGGAAGGAAAGACCTGGAGATTCTGTTCAGCATTAAAGACCAAGCCGAACTTGTTCGCGAAGTCATTGATCTCTTAATTTCAGACACAAGTGGCTTAAATTCTGATGTCAAGCTTTGTTCAACTATTGATTTGCCAAATCAGTCCATCAGTGAAAGTAATGATGAAGCTGCTAATGCCAATGATCCTAAACTAATGAGCAGCATTAATTCAAGGCTTCTTGGCTTAAAGACCGAGTTGGCATCTGTTACTGAGAAAATTGATTGTCTTGGTGAAACAATCAGAGAAGAAAGCAGGAGTTTGTCCCCTTTACCCCATCTAACAGAGTCCGCAAGCTTTCTATCCACTATGACAACAATGTCTCAGGACTTGCCCATGGATTCTGTAGGAAAAGAATTTGCAGCAGATTTAAAGGTGAGAGAATTTTTCTCCGAGCAGTTTTCATTCTTGTTCCCGTGATAACATCCTGGTTTGTCATGGTACACAGTTGAAGTAACAATAGTATTAAAAGTTTTCTAAAGCAAACACTCAATTTAAATTTCTCTAACATTAGCTGCAGAAGACCTAACAACTCATTGCATGCAACCAACACCTTAAATCAGCATGGAGCTTTGCACCAATGAAGTGTGCATGGTACAAGAAAATGATGCATGTGTATAAGTGAAGGGGGAAAATAAACCCCATTGTGCTAATTTTGATCTTCCATCTCAATAAAGCCAATTGTTAGTGAAATTTGGACAGATAAATAATTGTAGTTGGTAAAATAATGAGGTCCATTGTTATTAATTAAAGCAAATTATTTTAAAGATGGGAATTTTTGGATTGTCATTTATTTGAGTTATCAGTAGCTTGAAATCAAATGGATTGATTTCAATGCCTGAATTCTTTTGCTATAAAGTTCATTAAGTTTCTTAAATTAGAATCTGCTTAAAGTCATACACAGGTTTGCGCTCATGCTGCCAGAACTCCACACAAAGGGGAGTGCAGATGAGGAATTTGGGTGTGTCATCCTCTGTAGTCAAATTCCTCATCTGCACTCCCACCAGGGAGAGATCTGTAACAGAGCTACAGGCTTGCAAGGTGATCACCTGTTGCAATGTATCATAGCCTGAATTCCTTAAGGTACATCACATACGTTGCATTCTTAACGTATCCTGTGTTTAAGTTTGTATGTTCTTAAATTGCATCCCCAAGATTCCCTGTCAACCATGAAACTATGTAGTGGGAACACAGACCAGTACATAATACTTCTAGGATTAGGATTTGAATTTTAGTCAGTACTTGTCTTTTTAAGCTCAATAAAATCACATTTGAATATTTCAGTGTATTTTCCAGAAAGCTATATGTATATTGTGCAAATAAATTGCTTTTTTTTTTTCATTCATTCGGTATTGTGAGGCTGGAATGAGAATTATCAGGCTTCATCCAGCAAAATCCTCAGACAACAAAAAGCATATTAATGACTATAACTGAAAAAGAGAATCCAGGTAAAGTAATTTAGGCCTCCTGCACTGATTATTGGACACTGATCAGTATAGTGGAATGGGATTATCCAGAGCACTACCTATCCTCGTTATTGACAAACTAGGGCAGTCATGGACTAGGCAACAATTTGAAATGTTCTCCATCAAAATTAAATGAAACGGGAAAAAAAATTACATTGTGACATTAAGACGCATTGTGTCTTCCACAAGCTAGGGCATGCCAGATGCTTTACATCCAATGAAATATTTTTTAAGTGTTACCATTTATCACTGTTGCAATGTGAAACAGTAGTTCTTAATTCTTATTTGATTGAAAGGCCCGATACCAAACAATGGGCAAGTGCTGCTTATATTGTGTGTTTTAATAATGGTAATCAGCCACATGCTGAAAAGGACTATAGACATCCTTCTCCACAGAGATAGAGCGAGAGACAATTGGTTAGAAAGAAGTTGAAATGTACCACTTGACAGCAAGCTTGGACAGAATAGGAGGCAGGTCCATGAACTCTCCAGTTGGTTTGGGAATTAAACCTGCACGCTGTCATTCAGCACCACACTCTAGCGATCTCGCTAATTAAACTAATCAATCCCCACTCAGAGTATTTTAATAATGCTCTTAAAACACAATAGGACAGTTGTGTTGATGTTGGTGAGATAGACAAGAAATCAGAGGTAAGGTACAAGTGTGATTCAACTAACATTTTAGTCCAGAGATTGGTACTGAGTCCACTTTTATGTGTCATTTATATAAACAATTTGAATGAAAATGTAGGAGGTATGATTAGTAAGCTTGCAGCTGACAGCAATATTGGTGGTATGGTGGACAGCGAAGAAGGTTATCTAAGATTGAGATCTTGGCCAATTGAGTCTTTGGGCTGAAGAGTAGCAGATGGAGTTTAATTTAGATAAATGCAAGATATTGTGTTTGGATAAGACAAACAAGGACAGGACTTTTACAATTAATGGTAGGGTCCTGGATAGTGTTGTTGAACTTGGAGACCTAGGAGTTCATAAAAGTAATTCTTTGAAATTTGCGTCACAGGTAGACAGGGTAGTTAAGAAGGCAGTTAGCATGCTTGCTTTCATTGCTGAGACCTTTTGAGTATAGGAGTTGGGATGTCATGTTGAAGTTGTACAGGATATTGGTCAGGTGCCTCCTGGAGTACTGTTTGCAGTTCTGGTTGCCCTGCTGTAGGAAGGATATTATTAATTTGGATAGGGTTCAGAAAAGGCTTACCAGGATATTGCTGGGAATACAGGGTTTGAATTATAAAAATAAACTGAATAGGCTGGGACTTTTCGCACTGGAGCATGGGAGGTTGAGAGGTGACCTTATAGATGTTTCTAAGATCATGAGGGGCATTAATAAGGTGAATTGCAAGGGTCTTTTTCCTAGGGTGGGGAGTTAAAGACTAGGGGTCATATTTTTAAGGTGAGAGGAGAAAGATTTAAAAAGGACATGAGGGACAACCTTTTTTACCCAGAATATGTTTCGTGTGTGGAATGAACTGTCGGAGGAAGTTGTGGATGCAGGTACAGTTACAACATCTAAAAGACATTTGGATAGGTACATGAATAGGAAAGGCTTGGAAGGATATGGGCCAAACACAGGCAAGTGGGACTAAGTTAGTTTGGGAACATGGTAGGCGTGGACCAGTTGGACCAAAGGGTCTGTTTCTGTGCTGTATGACTCTGACTCTAAAACTGAACCACAAAAAGAAAATCCCATGGACAGCTGAGTTTCCTTCCTTCCAATTCCATTATTGCATATGCAGGTAGATATTTGACACTCTCTGGAATGTACGACAGACCTGTAAACTCAGCCGAGTGTTGTTTAATCATTCAAGAAATGTTCATTCTTGCAACATATTGAAAGGTTTCAGTGGAAGACCGTGTTTAATGTGAACTCCACTATATGTATGCAGAAACTTAGAACAGCAGCTGCCAGGAACAAAGATGACACTGCCCGCATGACCTCACTGCCAGGCGAGGTCATAACAAAACACGACAGTCAACTATTCAGAGCATCATTAGTCTATAGCAGATGTAAAAACAAGAAAACAAAGATACGTACAATATCGTCCTGGTAAAGAATGGGTTTTTATTGTAAAAACAATGCAAACAGGATCATTTCAGCACAGCCTGCCAGCTCTTGGATAAAGCCTCTTCTGGGCAGCAGCAAGAAGGAGCAGCAGCCGAGGAAAGTTCTGCTGCAGACAATGCCAGAGGAGGAGCTTGGTTTTGTCAGTCCCATCCTCTACCTCTACCACCACCACCACCCCCTCATCCTCCAGCTCTGCCACCCCTTTGTTCCCAACCTGGTGATGCCAGTGACACTTGCTTCAGCCTATTGTGGCCAGGTCATGTCACAGGCTGAACATGCATGGAGCCTGCTTTTGCATTATGGATAGTCACTCCATTTCCACAATTGAAACTGGCCAACGAAAGATTAATATTAACATTTAATCAAATGCTCAGCAGGCCAGGCAGAATTATGACAGCACTTGCCAACCACGTGAGTTCATCTACACCACAGCAGCAGCTGACCCTTGCTCCCTGCTGAAGACCACAACAGACGTGGTGGCTATCGTTATGAAGAAGGCCAAGTATTCAGTATTGTCAACTTCTCTCCCAGACCCCTCTCCCACTCCCCCTTTTCACCCCCCCCAAACCAGGCATTATCTACTATATTTGAAAGACTATATCCAACTTGAATGAATATTTACTGTTGCCACCAGTGAGATTAGTCAATTAGAGACTTTTATTTGAAGTTGCATGTTATTTGGTAAATCTTTCTAAAGTTCTTGGAGTTTAAAATGTGATTTGTATCAGAGCATTACCACTTATTCTAGCCAAACTTACCCTTTGAAGACTTGGTGGGTCTGCTGTGAAGGGGACAGATGTGGGAAACCTCAAGGGTTGGATTTTCACTACCAAGACAGGTAGCTTGAGTCAGGCAACTTACCCACCAATCCCAGGAGGAGGAGGGCAGCCATTCATTAGTTCCATTAGATGGCCAACCATCAGCTTCCATAGAAAAGAGTTTAATGTAGTCTCTGCACCTTGTCTAATGAAGGACCACACAACTTCAGGCTCCAACGTTCTGCATTAATTGAGTTTATTGTAATTCTTCAGGGGATCGTTTTCAAATGCTGTATTCAGAGCCTGTTCCCCTCACTTTCACCCATGGTCTATCAGCGTATAGGCGACCAAAATTGATTACCCTCATCACAGTGACAGATTGTCATGCAGACACTGTGTCTCAGAGGCATGTGCAATTGGAGAACGCCCTGCCATGTAGGCATGACAAAACCACCGGGCCACCCCACGCTTATACAGTGCACTCCTCCCCTCACCAATCCAAACTCCACACACCATCACCACTACCCCAGGCAAAATCAGTCCCTGTATAACCACATAACCAGGTTTCGGCATGTCAACAGTCATTGTTATGTTGCACTGAACAAAGTGAGGCACCTTGCGTAGTGATATACTTTCAGCTTTGTTGTGCCAGACTGGTGCAGGGGAGGACAGCTCCAGAAGGTGTGGGAGAGATGGCATCCTGCTTCTGCCGCCAGGGCCTTTTTAGGTTCCCGATTAGGAACTGTAATGCACGGGGAATAACTTCTGTCCCAGAGAGAGGAGAAACTCTGCTAGCATGAGTTTGGAAGGAGATTGCGTGACTAAAGAATATATTGGTGACTGGTAATGCAGCAGGGGAATGTCAATAGATAGATGCTTCAGAGATACTTGAAGAGAGTCAGCCAAGTAGAAGTTGAATGGGCATCAGTTGATTTGTGACCAGATCTTCCTCCACAGTGGCATCGATGATTAAGCATTTTTCTTGACATTCAGAGCCTTTTCCTGCTGTTTTTTTTTTTCATTCATTCAGAAGATGAGGGCATTGCTGGCTAGGCAGCATTTAATGCCCATCCCTAATTGCCCAGAGGGCAGTTCAGAGTCAACCATAATGCTGGGGTTCTGGAGTCACATGTAGGCCAGGCCAGACCAGGTAAGGATGGCGGTTTCCTTCCCTAAAGGACATTAATGAACCAGATGGATTTTTCCGACAATTGGCAATGGATTCATGGTCATCATTAGACTCTGCCGTGGCGGGATTCGAACCCAGGTCCCCAGAACATTACCTGGGTCTCTGGATTAACAGTCTAGCAATAATACCAGTAGGCCATTGCCTCCCCACTTGTACATCTCTCTTAGGCCAAGATAACTTCTTCAGTGATTGTACACCTTTCACTTGATAGCATCTCATTCAAGCTGCCCTGTTAGTTCCTGGCTCTGGCTGCATGTTGCTGTTTAATTCCCCTTGCTCTCACCCACATGTGGACAGCCACTGCACCTTTTTAATTTTGTAACTTGCTTCCTTTACTGCACGCTGTTCACCAAGTGGCCCCGGCAGTGTGTTTTGTTTTCTAATTAGCTGCCCGATGTAAGGGATATTTCCGAGAGGCGCCCTTATCCACCCTCCCGAACTGGTCTGGCGCCAACCTCTAACTCTCTATATTAAGGTCCCTAAATTTAAAGTGTAATTTGAGAGTTCTGCACAAGGGAAATATGAATCAGGCTCAGTCCCCTTTCCCTAGCAATTTTCTGCATCCTAGCCACAGCTTCTAAAGACCCAACTCCACAAAAATTCAGTTCCCAAGTTTCAATCTATGATCTGTATGAATTGGTTACATCTAGTTAACACTGTGGTGAGGCCCTGTGATTGGTTACGGATGTAAAAATCACCTCTGGTTCATGCTGTTGATCACAGTGGCATTTGCTAAAACTCCATTTGTGGACATTGGGGTGAAGGCAAAATCAAACTGGTCTCTCGTCACTGTCATCTTCAAAATAACCTAATTAAATATTGACTGCCAAGACCACACTTGAGTGATAGCCATTTAGGAAGGGTAGTTGAGAGTGAATTTAACTACCACAGGAGAAAGTCAATAGATTCAAGTGAATAGCAGAAAATTGGTAGAGATAAAGGTTATTTTAAGGATCATTTTTGATTAGTAAAGAAATCAATGTAACCATTGAAACTGAAGTATGGGCCTTAGGCATAAAATACCATAATGCATCAATGTATTTCTCCTTCATTCACTCCGTGATCATACATGTGCTTCCAAAAAAAAGTGAGGCTAAAGAGCTACAGATGTAGCTCTTTAATCGTTGCAGCTCTCTCTATCATTTAGATTTTATTTATCTGAATAGCAATTAAGCATATATATTTTTAATAGCAACTTTGAAGTTGTCTACTTTCAATTCAAAGTCACTTAATTTAACTAGCTTCTTTTAGCATTAGCATGCAGCGTGTGATTTTATTTTGCTTAATTCAAATGTTTGCACAATTCGGTTGTTCAGCACAAAATATTTGGATAAACTGCATCCGACCAAGGTTTCAGTATTCTACAATGTACTTCATTGTGAATGAATGAAACACATTTGTGTAAATAGTTAAATCATGAGATGATGAACCTGAAGTAGCGTACCCTAGATATTGGCTTTTTGGCTTGTCGGGCAGATGCTTTTGTAGTTTAGTCGGTTTGGGTTCACAACTTATTGCTTCAGAGAATGTTCCAAGAAGTGCACGCACACCCTTGATTGAATCAGAGCTCTGTTGCCTGCATGTTGTTGGTTTAACCCCTGCATCATTCACTGCATGTGCACCGTAACTGGTGTTTGCACACTCTCTCTTTTCTTCTCTTTTCTCTTTCTTTCAAACAAATCAGCCCATATTTCTACTCATTGTCTTTTTAATTTTGTTTACGACACTCTCATATGCCACTGTAATAAAGATGTTTTTCCTTTTCATACTTTTCTTTGTCTTGTAGTTTTTTCAATGTTTACTATACCCAGTTTTTGTTTCTTTGTTCCTTCCCTATCCTTTGTTTTGTTTTCATTAACTTGCCCATGCATGCAGCAGCCTGACTTTAGGGATCAAGTGGACTGGGAGCAAGATGTTAGCCATACCCCGGAGATCTGTGTAACCAATTCTGACACCAAGGAGTACCGAGAAAATGCCAAGGATTATACTGCGAAGGATTATAACATCTTCAGCCGTGAGGAAAGTGACTCCTATGCTACAGAGGTAAATTTTATGAAACCATCTATGTCTGTAATAAAGCTACAAGCTGATAATGGAAAATATGGTATTTTTTTTTCTGTATTTGTCTTCGTGAATGCAAATATATAAAGACCAGATCCCCCACCATGCTACTTGTGGACTTGAGACAATGTATTATTTTACCATGAATATTGTACGTAACAAACTATAATCGTCACTTCAAATTGTAAGCGTGTGCATACAAAAGCTTAAAAGTCTAATTCTTGGTAAACAGGATGAATTTCTACAGTGAAAACCAAAAGAACTGCGGATGCTGTAAATCAGGAACAAAAACAGAAGTTGCTGGAAAAGCTCAGCAGGTCTGGCAGCATCTGTGAAGAAAATATGAGTTAACGTTTCGGGACCGGTGACCCTTCCCCAGAACAGTTCTAAGCTCAGCCTTTCCAGCAACTTCCACCTTTGTTCCTGAATTTCCACAGAGATTCATTGAGAGACTGCTGACACTGTAGTTCTGACATTTGAAGCTAAATACACAAATTTGAGTGTAACAATTGAAATCAGAACGGCAATCTGTTGAATTGATTATATAATATTATTAGTGAATTGTTTGCCTGTCTTAAGACAGAGATTTTTGTTCTCCAAGGTAAGAAATACTTACATAAAATTGGATGAAAATAGTGGGAGATTGCTTATTGTTGGAGAAATACTGTCAATGTTACAGTCAGCCTTCCTGACCCAAGAATATGGAATAGTCAAACTACTCATATCTGATTATTACATGGTGGTTAACAGTAGCCATGTTAGGATTGTGACAACCTGAGATTCCACTCATGTTCAATAACATCATCGAGTCATACAATAATGGAAATAGACCCCTCGGTCCAATTCATCCATGCTAACCAGGTTTCCCAAACTAAACTACTCCCATTTGCTGGCATTTGGCCCATATCCTCCTAAACCTTTCCTATTCATGTACCTGTCAAATGTCTTTTAAATGTTATAACTGTACTTGCATCTACCACTTCCCCTGGCAGTTCATTCCACATACGAATCATCCACTGTGTGAAAAAGTTGCCCCTTTCAGGTCCCTCTTAAATCTTTCCCCTTTCACCTTAAACTTATGCTGTCTAATTTTGAACTCCTGTAGCCTAGGGTAAAGTGCTTTTGCTATTCACCTTATCTATGCCCCTCATGATTTTAATAAACCTATATAAGGTCAGCCCTCAACCTCCTGTGCTCCAGGGGAAAAAATTCCCAGCCTGTCCAGCCTCTCCTTCTAACTCAAACCCTCCATTACCAGTAACATTTTTGTAAAGCTTTCCTGCGCTCTTTCCAATTTAATAATAATCTTCCTATAAGAGGGCGACGAGAACAACACACAGTATTCCAAAAGTGGCCTCACCAATGTCCTGTAAAGCCACAACATGACATCCCAACTCCCATACTCAGTTCACCAGTGAAGGCAAGCGTCCCAAATACTGTCTTCACCACCATGTCAACCTGTGACACCACTTTCAAGAAACTATGCACCTGAATTCCTAGGCTGCTCTGTTAGTCAACACTCCCCAGGGCCTCACGATTAGCTGTGTAAGTCCTGACCTTTGTTTGTCTTACCAAAATACAACACTTTACATTATCTAAATTAAACTACATCTACCACTTCTGGGCCCATTGGCCCAGCTGATCAAGATCCAAGTCAACAACACCGTATCCTCCAAATGAACAAGAAGAAAGGAAGAGCCACCACTTGGGCAAGGATCAAATAGATTCCAAGTACCCATCATGATTTGGTTCCTTTAGAGGAAGACTAGACAGATTTCATGAAATCGTAAGTTTGCTACATGGCGATGTCTCCTCATAACCATGGTATGCTATTGTTCTATCGAGTGTTGAGGCAACAGGACCAGATTTAGAAGGTTCACGCTCATTAATTTGGGTGAGGGTTAACCTCATACAGTCTTCTGAGGCTGTCATAATCAAATGCTTTTAATGACTTCCATGTGGATTGCGTCTCATGTAGTGAGCTTAGGCAACCAGAACCCCAGCAGCAGTTCTTGAAGGGAGATTCTTCTAGACACACACACACAATCTGTTGCAGCAGGTATTGTATTTTCAGTTTCAATGAAGAGCAGAGAGAAAAGAACTGTTCTCATCTTGGATATGGTTCTGGGTGGGCTGCTGGAGCAAAGAAACCAAAGGAGTTTAGCCATGTTTGCTCATTGTTGGTTGCATGAGAGAGGAGTTGGTCAAAAGGGTGAATGGCATCTCCCAAAATCTACAAGAATGGGCAGCAGCTGAGATACAATTTTGGCAACCTCTGGAAAATTACAAAGGTAAGACTGCCAGCATACATGTAAGCAAAGTATGCATTCTACAAAGATCATTTTCAGCATGCTGCTGCTTGATTAAGGTTTCATTCCAGCAATTCTTTCACAGATTCACGTGCATACACGTAATGCTGCAAGGAAAATTTCATAACCATCATTGTGAAAACTCAGCCAATTCATTGACTTCCATCTTCAAAGCTCAGACCTCACAGTAAGCGTCCAGCAAAGTTTAGATGCTTAATGTTAACTTCCTTAGACCTGAGGATGAGATGATGGGTGGTGGGTATCAGCATCTGTCTTCAAAGCTCAACACTTCTTGTACGCTTGTAGTCAAAGCTTTAAATTACATGAGGGTGCATGTTTGTACAGCAGGAAGGTCCACACCTTCAGGCCCTTGGACACATTTACAATCATTATTCTCAGATCCTGGGACCAGAGACCATAAAGAAAATTAAGGTCATCCCATCCAGGCACAAAGTTGGCACATACCTGTCCTTGTTTGTTATGTTTGCCCTTAGTTATCCTCTGTCACACGGTCACATCTGCAATACATAACAGAGGGAAAACATTCTTATCACTTAAATCAGATAACAGATATGAAAGAGAAGGAAGTATTAGGAAACTGGGTGGACATTAAATTTCATTCATTTATCACACCAGTAATTGCTGAAACCCAGTAGTCTGCCAGTGCAATGACTCCTCCTGGGATTATTCAGTTATTGAGAATGCTGTATGATGAAGATTCTTTTTACTATTCTTGCTGTAACTTATCTTTGGATGCATGCTAGGTGCTACTCTGCCATTGGTGCCACCCAAGATTCTTGCTTACTTATTCCACAGGATCCCTTTCTATATGTTGTGATCTTTAATGCCTTGGTGACCCTGTCGTGCAAATGTTTCCTGATCGAATATATTGGCTCAGATCTAGCGATCCCAATGGCAGTAAAGATTTCAAAATCTGCTGCTGTTGCGGATCACAACAGCATCAGACATTCCGGGGAGCTGATTTAGGCCTAAATCTAGAACTCTCTAACACTGCTCACCCACCAAGTTTCCCCCCACCCGCTCTGACTGACACTATTTAACAACCCATACCTCCGACAGCCCTGGATCTCATTCCCCGCGCCCGCGCCCCCCAACCCCCTCTTCCCATTTCACGATGCTCCCAAGCCATCTGATCTCCCTTTCCTTCCCAAAAATACATTTCGGCTCACCATCTGAATCCCTGGCTCCTGAATCAAACCAGTGCCAGAGTAGGATCGAGGTTGTTTGGACAATATGGGTGAGCAGTGTTCGGGCAGGTGGGCAGTTTTGGGAGAGTTTAGATGTTCAGATTTAGAGGTTGCAGGGAGTGTGGCAGTAGGGTAGTGTTGCCAGGGTGGAGTTGAGTTGTGTTGGGTTGGGGGATGTGAGGCTCTGCTGATTCCTGGGGTGAAGAGTCTCAGGGTGGGCTTAACATTTACAAGATCGTGGGGTTGAATGTGGGTAGGAGTGATTACTGAATTAGGATGAGTCCGTTTAAAAATTCTGCAACTCCATGATCTAAAGACAAACCTCCTAAAATGTCTTCAGTTCATGGTGCAAAAGGTGGGATGGGTTCGTCTCTGTCCACAAGGTCCTGTGAGAAGTAAAAGGCCACTTATAAAAATGGTCAGTGGCAGGTTTAGGACATGGATAGCCACACGTATTCTATCTATGATACCATATACCTTCAAAAACTGTCACAGACAAAAGTGCAGTTCTCTATCATGTTGATGCTGGGAAAATGTGTGTGTAACAAAGCGTGTATTATCCGTTACATGTATTGAAGTGATCTTGATTGATCAATTTGCCTGAATCTCTTCAGGTGGCTTGGTGTTGATCCAAAGCTTTGGGGTCTTTTCAATGGCAACAGAGATGTCCATCTCTGAGTGTAACTTAACTCAGTGACTGTTTGCCTAATGGAGTAGGGCATTTTTTTTGTGCAGCCAGATTTATTACCTTGATTCTTCTGTGATATTGGTGATGAGCCCTCTTTTTGAAATGTGGTGTTGCCCATGACGATTCTGGGGAGATCCTAAATATTGACTCATCAACAACGAAGGAATGGTGGTTTATGACCTGTCATGATGATCTGTGACTTGGAGAGGAATTTAGATGTAATGGTGTACCCACAACATTGCTGTTCTTGTCTTTCCAAATATTATAATGCATTAAAGGAATGTGTTGTTAAAGTAAGCTTGGTGATATAAACAACAGCCATTATATACTAGTGGGAGTAATGAACGTTAATTCCCATAACAGAGACACTTGTTAGATGACTGATTTAGTCCTGGATGCTGTTAACCTTTTGAGCACTTTGAGAACTACACTCCAGGTATGTGGTGAATATTCCATCGTACTTAGATTGTACCTAGACCTGGCTTCTCCTCTGTCCTCGCATCCCCTGAAACAATTGGAGAGAGGGGAAACTGCAGAGGAATTCTCATGATCTATATTCTCGGAGCATCAAGTAAATTTGCAGCTTCTGGAAATTAAAATATGAAAAATATTATCAAAACAATCAGTGTTCGTGCAAAGGTTAATGCAGAAAACACAGATGTAAAAGGTGGAAGCACAGCAGGCAAGACTCCAACCCGTCTACAGCATCACATAATTTTGAAATCAAAAGTAAGTTTTACCATTAGTAAAGTCATTGCACTTACATTCACAATAAAA